GTACCAAAATTGGTTACTGTCTATTGGGATATCTCCCATAGGCAGCTGGTGTGGTAGGTTGTGGCTAAGAGCTGCAGGGAAATACAGGGCACCAGATGGTTCTAGGCACTTGTGCTCTCCCCTGGCTCCCCACTCACCCCTGGAGCAAGTCATAACACTCCACTATAGCTCTGGAGCCAGTCCAACAGAAGAGTGGGGTGTGCACACCTCTTTCTGCATAGCCATCATGGTTGTCTTTGGAACATGTACAGTGGTTAGTTTGCTTTAGTATGTGATCGAGAAAGGATGATGAATTGTTTGATGTCACTGATTCCTGGGTGCAGAGCTACCTTCAGTGTGCAGGCTATGATCTTGACACTTCCCATAACAGGATCGTGGCTGCAGGTCTCAAGCGTCCCTTAGCTGTAACAACCAGAGAGGTGTTTGTTTGGCCCACTTGAGCAGATATGTTGTTCTCTACATATCAGATGCTGTCTTTTCTTTTAAGTCAAGGGTGCAATTGATGTCTTTTGCCCATGTCATTACCTCTAGTAGTGCTCTGATTTCTCGTGTGACTCTGAAGCATTCTCTAGTGTGTGTTCATTTCAGTCTGAAGAATACCTTTGGTATTTCTCGGAGGGCAGACCTGCCAACAACAAATTATCTGTCTTTGTTATATGGATATGCCTTGATTTCTCTTTCAGTTTCGAAGGATGGCTTTGATTGGTGGAATCCTTGACATTTTTTCCCTCTTGGCATTTTGAATGTGTCACTCAGTTACCTTTGGTTTTAAATAACAATCAGCTATTTATATCTTATGAAGAGTTTGTTGTTTGTTCCTTCTTTTATTGAGGCTTTCAATATTCTTTAGTTTGTTGCCCACAGCTTGATTAAGATGTGGTAAGCTGTGGATCTCTTTGAGCTTATCTGTCTTTGTCTTTGCTGAGCCTCTTAGATGTGTAGATTAATGTTTTTCATTAGATTCAGGGTGAGTCTGCTTATTGGTTCTTCAATTAAATTCTTTCTGTCCTCTTTCAAGGATTCTGATTCCTAGCAAGTTAGTAGAGTTGATGGTTTCCTGTGGGTTGCTGAGAGTTTGGTCATTTTTCTTCATTATTTTTCCCCCATTTCTTAGATTGGTAATCCACCATACACCTGTTTTCAAGTTCATTACTTTCTGCAGATGCCAGCTGGGGAGCTCCTCTAGTGAATCTTTATTTATTTACTCATTTATTTATTTATATGTTATGTGTATGAGTGTTTTGCATGTATGAAAGCGCACCCGTGAGTGCAATACCCAATGGAAGTCAGAAGAGGACTTTGGATCCCGTGGAACTGGAGTTACAGACAGTTGTTAGCTGTCATGTGGATACTGGGAACTGAATCCAGATCCTCTGTAAGAGCAGCAAGGCTCTTAACCACTGTACCATCTTTCCAACCCCAAAAGTATAGCTCAGGCTGGCCTTGAACTTGTGATCCTCCTGCCTCTGCCTCTTTTGCTTATTTTACTGGTGTTATGGCTAGCATAACTGGACCCTCTGGTGAATCTTTTAACTTGAATCACTGTACTTTTTCTCTGTCTTTTACTGTTGTTCTCTGTGTAATGAGAAACCATTCTTGTACTTTCCTTTAGTTCTTTAAACACAACTTACTTTGGAAACGCAAACACGTTTTAAGTAGCTGATATAAAGTCTTTGTCTACTAAGTCGAATATCTGGCCTGCTTAGGAACAGTGACTTGTCTGATTTTTGTTCTGGTTATGGGCCACTTTTCTGTTTCTTTGCATGTATCATATTTTTTTCGTTAAAAACAAGAATTAAAAGCATTTTTATAGCCAGGCGTGGTGGCACACGCCTTTAATCCCAGCACTTGGGAGGCAGAGGCAGGTGGCTCTTTGTGAGTTCAAGGCCAGCCTGGTCTACATAGTTAGTTCCAGGACAGCTGGGGCTACAGGGAGACCCTGTCTCAAAAAAAAAAAAAGAAAAAAACATTTTTTTTCATTTATGTATGTATGTCTTGCCTGCATGTATGTAAGTGCACCCCTGTTGTGAAATGCCCATGGAGTACAGAAGAGGGCGTCGGATCCTCTGGAACTGGAGTTATGGACAATTGTTAGTTGCCATGTGGGTGCTGGGATTTGAATCCCAGTTTTCTGCAAGAGCAGCTAGTGCTCTTAACTGCTGAGCCATCTCTCCAGCCTTGAAAAAAAGAATTTTAAATAATATCATGGAGGAAACAAACTCCCTCTCATTCTTCCCCAGGATTTGTGGTTTTGTTGCTGTTTGTATTGCCTGTGCCTTTAGTTACTTTCTTGAACTAATTTTCCAAGCTCTGCATTCATACGTGTGGCCTTTGAAGTCTCCATTCAGATAATTTAGCATTCATTGAAGGTTGGTGAGGAATGTCCTTAAGCCTGAATCCAGTAAATGTCCCAGTCTTTGCTGAAGGGCTATGTATGATGTGAGGACAGGACTTTATCACTCTGCTAAGCGGCTGACAGTTCTGCCTTAGGCTTCATTTCCTACTTGTTCAGCATCTAATACAAGGCTAGAGGGAAATGTGTAAGGCCTTTAGAAGTATTTCAGAGCACGTGCACAGCCTTGAGCCTGGAGATCACTCTATGCATAAATAAGACTTTCTGGATTCTCAGAACTGTTTCAGAACTTCTCAAATTATCTACAAATATCTTACTCACCAGTTTCTTTTAAGCTTCTCTTAGTGAAACTTGCTTTTTCATCTTAACAGAATCTTTCTCAGAGCAAAAAAATAAATTTCAATGAGGCCCCATTTATCAGTTGGACATCTCTTTATAGACTATGCTTTTGGCATCAAATTTAGAAAGCCTCTTGCTGGGACTGGAGAGATGGCTCAGTGGTTAAGAGCACTCACTGTTCTTGCAGAGGACCTGGGTTCGATTCCCAGCACCCACAAAAAAAAAAGAAAGAAAGCCTCTTGCCTTGTCTTAGTCCCTGAATTTCCTCCTTTGCTTCCTTAAAAGTAGTTTTCTGTTCTACATTAAATCTATGACTTGCCTTCAACTAGCTTTTGTAAAGCCATGAGATTTAGGCCAGTGTTCAGGGTTCCTGTGAAGAGTCACGGAGGGTGAAAAAAAAAACCAAACCATCCTTCCTTCATGGAGCCTCTGTGTGGAAATGGGTCTTAACTGGCCACAGCAGCCTAGTGGGATTTCAATGCAGTTGTTTCTTCTAGTCTTGGAATACCCTCCACGCCCAACCCCCAATTCCATATTATAGATTTAGAAGTTGTCTGTGTGCGAATCAAAGTCTTATCTCTTTTCCCCCAATTCCATATTGTCTTAGTTTGTTCTTCATTTGCTGTGACAAAACACTCTGACCAGTACCAACTTAGGGAGGAAAGGGTTTATTTGTCTTACATCTCCCAGGTCACATGCAGTTCATCAGGGAGCCCAAGGTAGGAACTCAGGGCAGGAACCTGGAGGCAGGAGCTGGAGCACAGGCCATGGAGGAACGCTGCTTACAGGCTTGCTCCCTTGGCTCCTGCTCAGCCTGCTTTCTTATGCAACACAGGCCCACCTGCCCAGGGGTGGCACCACCCACAGTGAGCTGGGCCCTCCCACATCACTCATCAAGAAGATGCCCTTCAGACATGGCCACAGGCCAGTCCAATAGAGGCAATTCCCCGATTGAGGCTCCCTCAACCCAGGTGTGTCAAGTTGACACTAAAGCTATCCAGCACACATATTATAGATTTAGAAGTTGTCTGTGTGCGAATCAAAGTCTTATCTCTTTCCGTTATCTTTACTAAGAGCCAGTCATTGTGATTATAGAGTTTAAAAAAATGGTTAAATGGGAATGCTTAGCCTGCAATTCTCAAACAAAGGTTTAAAAAGGAGAAAAGGATAAAGGAGAAGAGAAAGGCAAAGAATAGACCAGGCAGAAAAGGGAAAATGAGAGAGCCCAGTTGAGTTTGTATTGATACATAATAATTATACAAACACAGGGTATGATTCTGATGACCATAAAACACGTAAGATGAGCAAGTGGGCATAACCAGGGCATCCACCACCTCAGAGGTTCACCTCGTTACCTAGACTGCTTTCCTATCTGTAAATGGGGACTGCTGCTGCCCTTAGAGGCTCCTGGTGACAAATCACAGCTCCCACTCAGGTGTCTAAAAGAAGTCCCTAGGTAGAGAAGGAAAAGCCAGGCTCTGTCTCCAGGAGCCTGCCTCCCTTCCCCAGGGCACTGAGCAGCTGGTGAGTGGATAGCTTGGCTTAGCACCTTGGGGGACGGGGATGTCTGTGGGCTTCCTACCCAGCCCTTTGGGGCGCACCTGCCCTCCCCACTGTGGCTGTAGAAAAAGCTCTGCGATGTAAACAGATTAGGAAAAGCCTGCTGTCTGGCCCTCCCTCCTGCCTCCAGCCTCCAGCTGGACTCAGGGGATTAGTGGGGGTAGCTTTGTGGGGGATGGACACTGAAATGTCAGCTTTAGTTTAAGGGACCTTCTAGAAGGAAAGAGAGCAGCCCTCCTGATGGTACCTCCTCCAGTCTCTGTGCTTCTTTCCTGCTCTGAAATTCTGGTTCCAGCTCCCTTATGGGCTGCTCACTGGCTCTGCAGGTAGGTGGGGGTGGCAGGGCCTGTGCTGGCACTACAGAGGCTCTGAGGTGGAAGCCAAACACTAAAGGCACAGTCATGTGCCTTGGGCTAAAATGGGTGTCAATTGAGTTTCCAGATGGAAGAGGGGAGCAGGCAGTACAGTCTCTGGTACAGGGTGCTCGCCCAGAGGGGCTCCTGCCCTCAGTCGCTCATCATTCAGCCATTTCCTTTATCTTTCATTTGGGAGCTGACTGATCCTTTTATTTGCTCATTCACTGAGAAGCCACCAGCCTGCAGGCAGTCCCCAGTAAACACTTCCACTTCTCCCATGTGCCTGGCCCAGCAGTGCAGGCAGTGTAAACATGGGGACTAGAGAGAAAAGCCTGTCCCTGATGCCCCCTTAGGCATCACAGGGGCTCTGTCACATGTGTGTCTTCACAGGCATGAGTGTACCCTCCGTGACGCTTGCCAGTGTCCTGCAGGTCAGGGGTGAAGCTCTGTCTGAGGAGGAAATCTGGTCCCTTTTGTCACTGGCTGCTGAACGGCTCCTGGAAGACCTTCGAAATGGTAAGAGAGTATTTGGGGCAATTGAGGCATAAGGAGTGAAGGTGAAGCTTCTTATATTAATATCCTTTTTGCTGCTTCTTGATCTGATTAGTCTAAGTTGCTAGAGAGAGAGGGCAAGATAGCTGCTTTAGGAGGTGGCCTATCTCCTGGGCTTATGCCACATGGCCAAGTTAAAAGGCTTTGTTTTTGCCTTGGGTGCTTATAGAGAGAACAGATAGATGCAGCGATGTGAGCCTCTCTCAACACCTGGGACACTCCACATTCCATCTGTCAGATGCTGCACTAATCTGTCCTGTCAGAAGGCAGAACCCACACTGTGGTCTAAACAAGGAAGGTTAATATAAATTAGCATTAAATTGTGATGCAGGGCTAATAAAGATATTAAAAACCTCTATATGGTCCCCTAGAACTGAGGGCAGGTCTTCAGCGAGGGACAAAACTGCCCTCCTCAGGCTGGGGTTCAGAGCTCATGGAGGAGCTGTGCTTACAGCTCATAACGACAAATCCAGACATCTCCGGATTACCTGACTGTAGAGCATCTTCAGTCATGGTCCAGTTGGGGCTGAAGCAATTGCCATGTGATGAGTTGCAGAGGACCTGGAAGTCAGAGGTAACTTATTTGGATGCTGGCAGGCTCAGGCAAACAGGAAGATGATGTGGGCAGGAAGGCTGGAGCCTGCTGCATCTATGTGGACAAGTCTATGGGAGAATAACGACATGGCTTCATTAGGCCTTGAGGTCTCCAAGGGAACTTATGTACTGGAGCTGAGTCTGGGGAAGGGTATCCCTGCCTGGTGGTTTCATACTTGTACCACTAACCCCCAGACACAGCAGGAGAGCTTTTGCTTCCTATGAGGACGCCACAGTGCCTGTTCTAAGTAGACTGCTCATCCTGTTCTCTGACAGCAGAGATGCTTAAAGGAGCCAGGCTAGAAGGGTGAATTGGGAGCAATGAGGCATTCAGTTGGCAGCTGATGTAAACATTGGAGCCCACACTTAGGTGTTGGCTCAGAAGCTCCCCAGATCAGCAGCTGTAGTGGGTATAGTGGGAGCTTGGGAATATGAGAGCACACAGGCCCCATCAGGTGCTGAGTCCCAGAATGGACAGGTGGAGGAAGGCTGTACACATGTGCCTTACTTTCTCTTCTCCCCACCCCACCAGCCCTGACTCCTGTCTTCAGCCCTGGGGGTTCTGATGGACAATTGCTCAGCTTTCCCCTGACTGGTTGCCTCCTACCCTGATCTAGCTAGCTGCAGTGAACTCAGGCTTGCATCAATTTCTACCTGGACTTGGCCTCTCTTGACTTTTTGCTTTAAGATTCTTAGGTCATTGATGGATTTGGATGCAGGTGCTAAATTCCTGTCCATAGCTACAACCACCTAGGTGGCTGGGGGTAGGATTTATTCTGCTCTATAACCCTATAGGCCTGGGTCACAGTTAATCCTAGAGGGAGGCAGGCACTGCCAGTCACAGTGGCCCTGTTCCTATACCCCATCACTGCCTCATTTTCAGATTCCTCAGACTATGTGGTCTGCCCCTGGTCAGTCCTGCTTTCTGCAACTGGACATGTTTCTTTCCAAGACCACGTTTCTCACATAGAGGCTGTGCCATTCAAGGCTCCTGAGCTGTTACAGGGACCAAGTGAGGATGAACAGCCGAATGTATCACAGGTGAGATGTGTGATGTCTCTGCAACACCTGCTCCCTGATCCTTGGGGAAAGTCTGTTCTCAGGGAGGCACCCCCAGCTACCTGCCAGCTCCAATTCTGAGGGAGAGTAGGTTTAAAGCATGTTGATTCTAGGCCTTTTTTTTGCCAGAAACTTACTAGCTCTTGAACAAGGCAGTTCAACTTCTTAGCCCAAGTTTCCCTATCGGTAAAGTGAGACTGATGTAACTTTGTGGACCTGGACTTATCAGCATTCAGAACAAGGTATTAGGGGTTGGGGATGGTTCAGTAGGTAAAGGGCTTTCTGTGCAAGTACAAGGACCTGAGTTCAGATTTCTAGAAACCATGTAAAGAGTCAGATGTGGTGATGTATGCCTCTAATCCCAATGCTGGGGTGGAGGCAGGAGGATTCCAATGCCTTGCTGGCCAGCCAGTCTAGTGAATAGGTAAGCTCCAGGTTCAGTAAGACCTTGGGTCAAAAAATGAAATAGAGAGTGACAGGAAGACAACCACGGTCAACTTTTGGCCTCAACATGTACCCACATCGGCATGTGCACCCCCATGTACACCCCCTCACACAAAGAAGTTTTGGGAAAAGATGTGGACAAATTATCTGTGGAAAGGGACCATTGGTAGGTAGCAAGAAGCAAGAGGTTCCAAAATGACCCAGTCAGTCCTCTGTGTGAGTTTACCCTTAGGTGACTTGGGGTGGCTTTAGCTACACAGGTGCTCTGTGTCTCACTGTTGATGTCAGTCATGAACTTGAAACTAAATGGATGTCAGTGGACAGTGGACCTAAGACAAGACAATGCTTATGTAAGACTGCAGAGATTGTTTAGTGATTTGAAAGGTGGGTGGGGCAGGAGCCTGACTCGGGACTTGGAGACATGGGTCAGTGGTTAAGAACACTGGTTCAGTGCTCAGCATCCACATGGTGACTAACAACTGTCCTTAACTGTCCAGGGGATCTGACACCTTCTTCAGGTCTCCGTGGGCATTGCACTACGTGAGTGCACCTACGTACATGCAGGCTAAACACTCACATATAAAGTAACTAAACCTAAAAAAAAAGCAAATCCATGTCTGTACTGGCTATTTGGATGGCAGCATCAGCAGAGACTTCTAGCTTTCCCCAGTGGGCACTTTTTTCCTTCTGAAAAGCAACACGTTCCAGTACACAGTATTTTCAGCTTTAAAAAGAACTCAAAGACAAGACTGCTTCAAGGCCAGCCCATGCGGCTGGGCAGCATGGTCCTTCCTTGGCCTTTCATGGGGAGTGTGCAGGTCTGAAGACTGAAGATACTGCTCCTCCCAGGCCTAGGAAACTGGGAGTTGCTTTGTCTTCAGGCTCAGGGAAGACAATCAGGCCTCAGTACCTTCTGGGTTTGTTTTGTTAGGGTACACGTGTCTCCAGGTCACACCACAACAATGAAAATATGGAGTTCTGTTGCAGAGGCTCCTGCAGTCCAGGCCTGCACACCCTCCCTGAGCTACCAGATCCTTGGGTGAACCCCTGGGCCTCTGGGTGAGATGGAGTTGGGTACCTCTCAGACACCTCTCAGACTCCCTCTATTGGGGTCTCCTGGTTGATACCACTTGTACTAAGTTGCCTGTCATGGGCTGGACTCAGCTAAAATGACAGACTGACTCTGCGCTCTAGCTTTCTACTTGAGCATGCCAATGTGATGTGTAAATGCTGGGGAGCTAGTTGCCTAAAACAAACCTTAGCCCATGGTGAACGAATGAGAGGCACTAAGAGGGTAAAGCCTCTTTCCTCATTTGTGGATGGCTTCAGGGTGTGCAGTCTTTGCACACCTTCTAGAGATCTCTTCTGAGATGTAGGGCGCTGTGACCGCTGCCATCCTGCTGGACTGTGGCAGCATGGTGACTATGTGTGCGATGTCTGTCCTTACTTCCTTTCCACCTTTCTCCTCACTCTCATTGCCCTAGGCCTACAGCTCTGTCTGTGAGCTAGCACCTAATCCTTGCCTCAGGCTCTGCTTTCTAGAGGACAGGAGCTGAGACAGATCTTGGGTGCTACTGAAGTCCTTTCTTGTCCTTCCCCGATACTGTGTGTCTTCCAGCACTCATTGTGGAAGAGCAGGCTTCACCCTTCCCAGAACAGTCTGGCTTGCACAGAATGCCTTGGGGAGGTCTGGCCATTCCTCTGCTCAGAGCATCCAGAGCTAAAGAAAATCCTGCTCCTCCCTCCTGTGTATTCCTCTACACAGAAATGTCAGGCTCTAGAAGTTCCAAGGCTGGAGAGGAAAGACTGAACTCAGAACTGGGAAGGTGTACAGCTGAGAGGTTGGTTGGAAAGAGAGCGAGCCTGAGTCAGAGAGAGCCAGTGTGGGTTGGGACTCTGTTCTGAGCCAACCTGAAATTGTTTGGGCTAGCTGCTTAACCCTCTATTCACTGAAGCTGATCTGAAAAGGTTTCCTGGGGCTCAAGGTAGCATCCTCTGCCCTGTTAGGAGGCAGCAGGTGGGGTCACTGGGTCATTTAGTCTGCCATCCTACAGCTCTGATGATCACCACTCCCTTCCATTCATCACACAGCTTCTCTCTTCAGCCAATGTGGCATGTGGCTGTGAGGAATGTCTGGGAAGTCAGGAGAGTGGTTCCTGGAAGGAGACCTCCTGGAACCCTGGCCCCATTCAGACACTAACATCCTTCTCTAACCAGAACACTGAGTGCCCAACCTGAGTCTTACTTAGCCCGGGCATAGGTGTAAGATTCAGGCAGGTCTCTAACTGAGGGTCCTCTAGGCGTCCTCACTCCATGCTATCCTCAAAGCAGGCTGTCGATGGTGTTTTCATTCACTGACCTGCCTTCAGAAGCCTCCTCCCCACCCTTCTGCCATCAGTATCTCTCAGTGGGCTGGATTCAGGATTTGAGATGGAGACTCCTGGCCCAGTGGCCTCAGGACATGTATGGACAGTCTTGAGATCCAGGGATAGTCCCAGGACTCTGAGCATTGCCTTGAGCTGTGCTCAGGGTTGCTGTTTAGGAATGCAGCTTGGGAACCTTCTTGAATGGAGTCTAGTCATCTCAGGAGTAGGACTGGTTTAGGGGTGCAATTTCAGACAAAGACAAGAGCTGACCGACAAAGGCCATCACTGACTTCACATCTCATCCCCGTGACATGGCACCCCAAACTACTTGTGTTGACTGCTGTAGTAACCATGTGTTTAACACTCTATGGCTTGTCACTTCAGGGATTCTCTTCTAGAGCCCCAAAAGTCTTTTCCCAAGGAGAAAGATCTTCAGGACAGTGGACAAAGTCTACCTACGGTGGAAGTCCCCCAGCAATAACAAGCTACATTCATTCATCTAGGAGCCACAGTCACGTGGCTCGGGGCAATGACTCAGGTGTTAAGTTCAGTCCAAGGTTTGGGTCTTATTTGGACAAATCCTCTCACTTCTGGTTGCTTCAATTTCCCCCTCTGTAGATGGGGCCAATTAAAAACCTGCCTCAGAGCATTGTTGTGAGGACCAAACACATTTACATAAGTAAAAGACTTAGAACTGGGCTTTGGATGTTAATAGTTGCTATCTCTCTAAGTGACTTTTTACTTGATTCTTATGAGTGTTTGGGTAGCTGCTCACTTTAAAGTTGAGGAAGCTGAGGCTCAGAGAAGTAGGATCATGCTTTTCCTGTTACACTGTGTCATTTTCTGACAAGATACAGAGTTTTGTGATCAGACTGACCTATCACATGCCATATACAGATGGTGATGACAACAAGAAACAGAAAGCCCAAAATACAGCCAGAGCCACAGATCTTCATCAGTGACTTAACAGGAAGCTTAGGGGTTGGTCAGCACCGCAGTAAAGTCACCAAGGATCCAGGATATCTATTTCCATTCCGATCCTCGTGGTTGCAAGATGGCTGCTATAACCCCACGTATCATGTAGTATTTCAGGTAGAACCAATGGGGGAAGGATGGCACCCAGTCACGTGATTTTTTATTTTTTTTGTCAAAAAAGGAAACTTTTTTTTCACCAGAAGTGCCCTACCAGATGTCCCTCTTATCTTTTGCCAAACTGGGAATCATAGTTACTGCTAGAAAGCAAATTTCTAGCCTGTAGCGTAGGAGGCTGCAAAGGTTAAGGAGGTACAGATGGCGCTGGGCTAGCCAGATGACTGTTTGTGGAAACTGCCCCATGCTTTCCTGGCAGGACTGCAAAGTCCCATGCCTGCTGTCTAACCCTGTGTTTTTCTCTTGGACAGATGCATGTCTACTCCTTAGGGATGACTCTCTACTGGTCGGCAGGGGTTTGTGTCCCACCAAACCAGGTCTGTGAGCAAGAGCACCTATGTCTTGGCAGGTTATGCCTTCCGATTAGCTGAGTGGCTTTCCCCTGAGCAGGATGGCATGCATTGAGGGCGGGTGTCACCATCCTTCTGTTCTAAGTCTTAGGCAGGCATTGCTGGTCAATTACACAGTTCCTTTCTATGAGTCCAGAAACAACCTCTGCATCCTACTCAACTTGGTACTCCTGACAGACCCAAGTGGGGCTGGCAAGAAAGTTAAGATTCATTGGCCAGCTCTGCTCAGAGGGTGTAGCAGGCTAGAGGATTGCACACTCCACAAAGACAGTTATTTATGTATTCTCTCAATGGTTTTTAAGAATCAGCCCTTCCTGAAGTGAGTTGATGCTCTGTGAAGTGTTCTGTGCCCAGTAACTGTAGGGAAATGCCCCACACAACATCTTCTCTGGAGCAAGTTCAGAACAGATTATTACCGACTATGGCAAGCCTCAAAGCATAGGAGCTTTGTATAGTGTGTGTGTGTGTGTGTGTGTGTGTGTGTGTGTACAAATTCTCATCTGACACTATAAGAATTCCTTAGAAACCAGGGCTGTAAGAGGACATGCTGGATCTAGCCAGAGGGTCCTCCCTCCTCTCTTCCCTTTCTTCCTTCCCTGTCTCTCTTTCCCTCCCTCCCTCCCTCCCTCCTTCCCTCCCTTCCTGGAGCCAGATTCCTGACAGCTCCTTCCAGCCTGCAAGGTTGTATTCTAGCATTTCATCAGGGGACATGAAACAAAAAATGGGCGCCTGCCTCTGTTTGCCAGTTCTCTGACATCCCCAAGGCTGGCTTCATGCAGTCCTGTTCTTGGTTTAAAGCTCTGTCAACCTCATCTTGTTCCCAATGTTTTTGGGTCTCACGCTGTCATTTTGTTATGGGCCTGACTGCAGCCCCTTCCTTTCAGACACAAGCCAACTTACCTGTGTGACAGCTTTCCTGCTCCTCCTTTGCACATGCTGACCATCCCCCGCAGCTCACTCCTCCCCGACCCCTAAGCTCCTGCTGCTGTTTGAGACCTGTCTGGGTCAGGCAGTGCCTGTGTTCCTGTGGGGTCTTGTGCCTGCCTGGACCAAGCCCTTGTCATTTCAACTGTCTTTGCTCTTTATGTGACACTTTTTCTCTTGAGACTGAAATCTTGAAGGCAGGGAGGGAGGCAGTCCTAGGACACTGTGGCTTCCTGTGGGCTATCTAAGTTCCGGACACAGTGATCTGGTTGCCATGAAGACAGGCACCATGGCTGAGGCTCCTCGTGAGCAGATGGGCTGACCATAGGAACGAGCAAGAGAAAGTCGGTCTAACACTCAATAATTACATTTTCAGTGTGCTCTGGTAACACACTACTAGACAGCTGCTCTACCACTAAGCTCTACCCTAAGCCCTCAAAAAATCAGGTTCTGAGTCTGGATTTAAGGCCTTCTCTGTATAAATGGTGGCCATTTAAATCCATTTAAATGCTTGAAGAATGCCTGCCTGTAAAAGACTTTATTTATTTTTTTGTCTTGGCTTATGTGTGTGATGTAGACTTCGAACAACAGTGACTGTGACTGAGCCTGTGCCTGCTTCTGGTGACTATAAAGTGAAAGGTCACAGTCTGATGTGCTTGGTAGTAATGCTCCAAGGGGAAGGCCTCATAAGACCTCCTTAAATAACTAGAAGAAGCACCAGGCCACCAGGTGAATGTGTGTGTATGTGTGTGTGTGTGTGTGTGTGTGTGTGTGTGTGTGTATTTGTGTAGGGCTGACTGCTCTTGGCTCAGATAGCAATCCATGGCATCCAGCACAGACCTTCCATCAGCGTGCGTCCATCAGCATGCCAAACATGCGTTTGAGCTGAAGAGTTCAGATTAGAGAGCAGCGCTGAGCTCAGTGGCTGCAGAAAGCAGTAACACAACAGGTGTCTGTCCCCTCTAGAAAGGGCAGAAGTGTTGTAGTGGTGATGAGTGTGTTTCCCTGAGACTCTGGGGCTGTAGTGCTGCCTTGAAGCAGCTGCTTTGCCTGTGTGTACTTCTCACTGGTGTGTGCTCTGCAGCCTCTGCAGCTGCAAGAACCTATGCACTCCCTCCTGCTGGCCATGTGCGAAGACCAGCCTCACAGGCGGCGGCCACTGCAGGCAGTTCTGGAAGCTTGCCAGGTCCATCAGGAAGAAGTGGCTGTGTATCCATCCCCTGCCAGTCTGCACATCAGTCGGCTGGTGGGCTTGGTGCTGGACACCATCTCTGAGGTCAGTAGAGAACCCAGTCTTTTCATTGTGCAGCTATTGAAGTTTAAATTTACTAAATTATAATGAAAACATAGTTGAATAAAAAAAAATTGGGGACTCAGTGGTGGAGGACTTGTCTAGCATATGCAAAGCCCTGGGTCATCCCCAGCACTAAAGAAAATAATATGGCATTTCAAATGCCATATGTAGCTGGTGACTAACCTGTGGTGGACAGGGCAGATCTAGAACATTGCTATCATTGCAGTTTTATTGAAGCAGTTCCTTAGTCACACCTGTTTACATTTCAAATGCCATATGTAGCTGGTGACTACCCTGTGGTGGACAGGGCAGATCTAGAACATTGCTATCATTGCAGTTTTATTGAACCATGGGGTGAAATCCTGTGAACAGACCTCAATTCCTAATATGCTTTGACCTTAGATCTTTGCAAGTGCCACTTTACACAGAACAGTCACAACCAGAGTCTGCTTCTACCACAATTCGTTGTTCAGCCTCACCTGACCTTGCTCACCTGGTCTTTGGCCACATCCTTCTAGCCATCATTTTCTTTGCATGGGGGGTCCACTTGCTGCCCCTGACTGGTTACAGCTTGCCACCTTGGGCACCTCAGTGCCCCACAAGGGGCCTGACACACAGTAGGCATTTGGTGGAAGTCAGGCTCCCTCTACATCAGCACTGGGATTCTTGTGTGAGTCATTCACTGGGAAAGACCTCCTGGAGAGGGTGATGATGGAGAGCAGCACTTGGAACAGTTTGCTCAAGGAGGTGACCCAAAGTGGAGACAGCCTCCCCCTGACCTTCTGGGGAGCCTACCACAGGAATGGAACCCAGAAATTGTTTCCTTATCAAGCTAGGGCAGGATTGGGCCAGGGTGGACAAATGAGGCCTTCATGGCTCAAAATGTAAGGAGGTTCTCATCTGAGATGATGTGGAGGGACTGAAGCTAGAGATCAGCTGTATCAAAATTAATGCAGGGGTCACAAGGATGGAGATGAGTGGGTAGCTGGGTGAGGGTTGCCAATTGTCAATCAGAAAATGTGCCATCCATCACCCTTAGTAGACCACTTTTCTCTTGAGTGTGGGCATGTGGATCCCTCCTACAACCATGCCAGAAGACTCAGTGTGGGAACAAGGGCATGCGAATTGGAAAGATTGGATCAGAACCTACCACCCAGTGGTGTGCCATTGTCCTTGGATAGACTCTATTGACCTGTAACATTTCCATCAAGGACCCACAAAGTAGGTTTTGATCCCTTTTCAACTAGAGGAGGGGCCTTGGTGCAGAGAGAGCACAGAGATGTTGGCAAGTTGGAGGGTCAAGAAAATCAGGGTGATGGGTGAACAGACAAGTGAGTGACAAGGAGAGATAATTTGGGGGTGGAGGTAGAGAGGGTTGGAGGCAGACAGGATACAACTCTGGGTCTCAAAAGCACAATATACGTTCTGGGAGATCCCAGGGGGGTGGAAGGAAGGCTCCAGAAAGGCACCTATGCACAGAGTGCCCAGGAGTGGAGGAGATTGAATTGCCTCTGGGAGGGCATGTGGTGGTAGGGCCACAGTATATTTTGGCTGCTGGAGAAGGCACCCTTTAGGCCCTCTCTTTGCAAAACAGACAACCCACACTTGCTTAGCCTGACAGGTAGCTGGCGTGTATCTGTGTAAAAGCTCTTGCCTGACCTTGGTTGCTGATGTACGATGCCCTGATCCTTGCTCAGGTGGAGAGAAGAGCTGTAGAGGAAAGTACCTGTGAATGGCAGAGCAGAAGCTACTTGCTCAGGAAGAGGCTGCATCAAGCTGGCAGTGACAGCCCCATGATCTGGGTCCCTGATGGTCTGCAGCCTCACAGAGGTGGGTGAAGGCCCTGGGTGCTCCCTCACAGCCACACTCAAAGACAAGATCTCACTATACAGCCTGACCCAGTCTTAAACTTAAAAAAAAAAAAAAAAGCTTTATTCTTATCTATGTGTGTGAGTATTTTTCCTCCAGGTACATGCAATGCCCGTGGAGGTCCAAAGAGGGTGTTGAACTCCCTGGAACTGAAGTTAGGGATGGTTGGTAGCAGCCATGGTTGCTGGGAGCCCAAACCCAGGTCCTCTGGAAGAGCAATAAGTGCTTTTAACCATGGAACCATCGCTGTAGCCCCGAGTCCTGAACTTTTGAGCCTCCTGTCTCAACCTCTGAGTACTGAGATTGCAGTCTTGTGCTACCATGCCTGATTTTATTTACTTATTTTCATTTAAAAGTATTGTTTGTTGTTCCAAAATGAAGGAGCTCCTTTGCTGTTTGCATTTGGTTTCACGTTCCCTCTAACTCTCTTCTCAGCTCCCAACTCTGTGACTGTCATTTCTATTTTCAGTATAAGAATACAGGCCCAGAGAGGTTCAGTAATTTCACCGAAAGCACACAGTTCATCAGCTATGATGCTGTCCACACTCTGGACCGTTGATTCCAAAAGCCACAGTGTTTGTTTGCATTGCCCTGACACATAACCATGTTTGGTTATTTTCAGAGAGAAGCACAGAGACTCAGAGCTCCCCGGAGCCCCACCGGAGCCCCTCAGCACAGAGTCCCTGCAGCTGCAGTTTCTTTGTTAACAAGTGAGTGGCCTCCTGCTGCTCCACACTATGAAACTTGGTGTGGGAGTCCCCATCTCCTACTTCATTGCTGATTATTGATGACAAGCTTCTCCATTCTTCCAAAAATGATATTAGTAAGAAGAAGCCAAGACGTGAGGGGCCAGGTGGCAGCTCTATTGTCAGAAACCCCACATCCTCTGGAAGCCCCATTCAGGTTCAGAGATGGGAGAGTATGAGCCTTGGTGTTTGAGCGATGATCCCTTAGCACACCATGCTGTACAGCAAAAAACCACATAGCACACTCATGACCGTGGGTTGGTGGTTTCACTTGGCTTCAGTCAACCCACCTGGCCTCTCTGGCTGACTTTTACTTCTGTAACTGGTTGCACAGTAGGGAGGCTTCACTCCTAGGGAGCAGGTTTGTTACCCAAGTGCCCCCGTAAGCACATGACATGCTGTACACACTGGGATGATTTCACTCTCACTAGGTGGCAGGAGTTTCTCAGGTTCATCATATAACAGAATCCCTGTAGCTTATGCAGTTTATTTGCTGTTGACCAAGGCATTAGTATGTGGTGCATGACTATATGTTTATTGTTGAAACAGTTGAATGTCTAAAATTTTTGTTAATTATAATTTTTATTTTATGTGTATGAGTGTATTGCCTGCATGTATGTAAGTGCACCCATATCCTGCAGTGCCTATGGAGGTCAGAAGAGGTGTCAGATCTCCTGGAACTGAAGTTAGGACAATTGTTAGCTGCCATGTTAGGTGCTGGGAATCGAATCTGGGTCCTCTGCAAGAGCAGACAGTGCTCTTAACCATTGAGCCATCTCTCCAGCTCCGAATGTCTAAAATTTTAAGAAGAAAGTCAGAGTCCATGATCTAGTCAGGGGTTATTGGAACCCTAGAGTCATGGTGAGCACAGAGGCAGAATTCTGGGATGGGGAGAAGCAGACTGTGACCTTACGCCTCATACCCTTCCTCGTTTCATGGCTGTGCAGCCTTAACTTCTGAGGATCTCAGCTTCGCCATTGGAAGAACCTATGTAAACCCCCATGGCATGGGGAATGACATGAAGTGGCTCAGAGTGCTTGCATGCAGTGCCTGGGTGGCTGTTGCAGGATGCATGTATGAAGCGTGTCAACAGTTCCCCATCCCCGGCCAGCACTCTTGCAGGTGTGGGTCCCTGTGACAGTAAGGAAGGCCTGCGGCGTGGCTCTGGGCCTGTGCTCTTGGCAGAAGCAGAACGTTCATGGCCAGCAACATCTTCTCCAAGGGGGTTCCTGCAAAGAAAGGGAAAGGTGAGCAAGAGAGGGCTGGAGGACACTGCCAAGAGTCATCTCAGGAACACAGAAGATGAATATCAGCAGGGGCTTCAGGGCACAGAGTCCCTAAGCTGGGGTTCATAGACTGGGACCAGCAGAAACCTGAACTTGATCACTCAAGGCTAGGGATTCAGTGGCCTCCCTAGGTCAGCTCTGTGGTAGATGGTGTGTAGGAGGCAAGGTCGATGTCAGGCCCACCTCTCATGAACTTTACAGTTACTTGAGTGTAGGGCAATATTACAGTACGGCATCTAACATACAGTTGTCCTATATAATGTATTTTATACTTGATTTTCTTTTTCTCATTTGATATGTTAGTGTATATGTATATGCGTGTATACTTGTATGTGTGCATTTGTGTGTATGGAGGCCCAGATGTCAATGTCAGGAGTCTTCTTCAGTCACTCTCCTTATTTTTTGAGAATCAGGGTCTCCCACTGAAACTGGCTCACCAATTCAGATAGACTGGCTGGCCAGCAAGCCCTAGGGATCCTCCTGTCCCCACCTCCCCAGTGCTGGGGTTACATGTGCATGACACTGTGCCTGGAATTTACGAGTGCTGGGGATCCAACTCAGATCCCCATGCTTGCGTGGCAGGCACCTTACCGACTGAACCATTTCCCCAGCTCTTGCTTTTCTTTTGTAATTTTGTTTTGAGACAGGGTCATATTATGTGGCCCAGGATGACCTCAACCTTTCGATCCTCCTGCCTCAACCTCCTGAATGCTGAAACACAGGTAATATGTGTTCATCTCCACACTAAGATTGCTTTAGGCTTTTGCTACACATGGAGATTATGTACTACTGTGTGACTGTTAGCCTCTAATAATGAAGACATCCATGTATCCATCAAGAGCCAGGGCACTGCCAGTCTCCTACACGTCACTGCAAGGCCTCTGCTTTGAGATGGCCAGCTGGGGCTCTGCCCCAGTCAGCTCTGTCCTGCTGAAACCTGTTTATTTGGGGCACTGGGAGACAGAGGGCTGGAGAAAGCAGGGGGAGATGAACTGATAGGGTAAGTCAAGATCCAAAGCTTGGAACCCCTCTTCCTCTCTCACGTTCAATGTTTCTCTCAGTACTCTAGGCCGGAGTTCATCCTTCTGGCTGGAGAGGCCCCTGTGAGCCTACACCTGCCTGGATCCATTGTGGTAACTACTGGTTAGACTGGGTGGGATGGGAAAGAATCGTCCAGCCAGGCAAACTTGAAGCTGACTGTACTGTGACTGAGGTTCCTTCCATGGGATGCCGCGGTGGTCTCCCTGCTTCAGGCCCTTCTCCCATAAATCCCCTAAACCGTTTTTTCTCTTATTCAGCCCAGATGCTGTGATGTGTCTCCACAAGCTGGGCACTCTTCCAGGCCCCACTCTATGCTGTGGCAAACAAAGTCCTGTGGAATTTATAGTCTAGCAGGAGGAGGCAAAAAGAGACACTGCATAATTTGAAAGCATGCCAGGTAGTGATTTGTGCTAAAAAAAAAATTGAGATGACCCATAAGGATGTAAGAGAGTAGAAGACGCCTGATAGAGAAGAGGGAGAGAAGTACTCATTCACAGATGAAAGTCTGAGGAGACAGAAATTGAGGGAGAGAGGGTTAGGGGAAGAAGATCTGGTAGATGGAGCAGGGAGAGCACATGTGGGTGGGCTGCCCAGCTCAGCCTAGTACATCGTGCCCTCATGTCCCATGCCCAGCCTGGGGCCAGGAGATTCTCAGTCAATGTTAAGCATTTGGGAAGATGACTTTCCAATCTCTCCTCTTCCTAGAATCAAGGTGCCCGTCTCGCCAACTCCATCTTGCCATGATGCCTTTCAATTCTCAGGCCTTTTCGAGGCAGGGCTGATGGAAGGTTGGCTTGGTGTCCCGTTTCTCTTGAGTTCCTACATCATCTCTATGCGTATCCTCTTGTAGCTCAGAGCAATGCGGAAGAGCACCCCAAAACCCTCTATAGCTCAGCCAGGGCTAGTTCAGTGCTTCCAGCAGAATTCCCTTACACCCCAGCCTGATGTGCCCCCATCAGTGAAACATCCATTTCCTCAGTATCTGAGCCCAGTTCAGGCAAACCGAAGGTGTGAGCCAGACACCTTGAGATCAGTCTGGGTTCCAGGACAAAGGCCACCTGTATTCATGTACTGAACACTAAGAAGGCACTCACAATATGCTTGGCCCTGTGCTAGAACAAGAAGCAAGAAATGGGTGGTGATTTTCATGCTTCAAGAATTCAAGGTAGTACATCGTGCCCTCATGTCCCATGCCCAGCCTGGGGCCAGGAGATTCTCAGTCAATGTTAAGCATTTGGGAAGATGACTTTCCAATCTCCCCTCTTCCTAGAATCAAGGTGCCCATCTCGCCAACTCCATCTTGCCATGATGCCTTTCAGTTCTCAGGCCTTTTCGAGGCAGGGCTGATGGAAGGTTGGCTTGGTGTCCCGTTTCTCTTGGGTTCCTACATCATCTCTATGCGTATCCTCTTGTAGCTCAGAGCAATGCAGAAGAGCACCCCGAAACCCTCTACAGCTCAGCCAGGGCTAGTTCAGTACTTCCAGCAGAATTCCCTTACACCCCAGCCTGATGTGCCCCCATCAGTGAAACATCCATTTCCTCAGTATCTGAGCCCAGTTCAGGCAAACCGAAGGTGTGAGCCAGACACCTTGAGATCAGTCTGGGTTCCAGGACAAAGGCCACCTGTATTCATGTACTGAACACTAAGAAGGCACTCACAATATGCTTGGCCCTGTGCTAGAACAAGAAGCAAGAAATGGGTGGTGATTTTCATGCTTCAAGAATTCAAGGATTGTCACCCAAAGCACAAGACTATAGAAACCAGGAAGGCTAGTGTATGAGAGGTTGGATTCACTCATTCTATGGTTCAGTGATCTGAGGACACTTAGCACCTGGCATCAGGCAATCTGATAGAGTTAAACCCAAGGGAGCACTCTCTGAACACCTTCTTACTCCAAGGCCCTAGGCCAGTTCCTCCCCTGCCAGCCCCTTAAGGCACCTGTCCAGCCTTCCACTGGCTTGTTTAGGACATTGTCCATTGAGTGCTGTAGGGAGGAAGGGCAATCTCCCACCCCACCATCCAGGGAACCCTTCCTGATGCCCTTGGGGTCACATGGCTCAGGTGACTACAGAGTCTTCCCCTACCAGATGGATAGGTCAGACCGGCTGTGATGGGGCAGCCACCCCTCCCTGCAAGGATGCTTGAACAGTACTGAGCGTACCAAGGCTCTGGGGTTCTCTCTCCCCTCGTGGGTTGTTGGCCACCAATCTGCAAGAACAAAGGGAGCAGAAGTGACGAACAGGGTCAGGACGGCTGTGAGTACAATGGAAAGAATTTCTGGGAGTCATCTTCGGTGAGACAGCTTGTTTATTTAGGGGAGTTGGAGGGAATATATAGGGTGAGGATGGCAGCCAAAGCTTTACCTGATAGGTGTTCATAGTCTGCTTTATTTGCATATGGCAGGAGGACCCTGTCATGTAGAAAGAGGAGGTGCAGTTGATTGGCTGTAGTGCAATGCCTAGTTATCATATAGGGGCAGCATTTACAGGGAACTGTGTCAAAGGTCATGTTTCCAAATAAGGTCAGGCATCTGTGCTTGGAGACACTTTCCAAATAAGGTCAGGCAGAGAATAGGAAGCCCCTGCTGAGAAAGGGAGTCCTCCATTTTGAGCCAAGCTTGGAGAGCTGTCCAGACATTGTGGACTACGACCTTAACAACAGGGTCCTCCAACACACCACAACACCAGGTCTAGCCTATTGCAATCCTTATGGTACTCCTGGGCTCCTAACATCTTTGCAGATGTCAGAAAGGCATGAGAAGGACAGCCCAGGGTTCCCCCAGTAAGAACACTGGGTCTTTGGTTTGCATGTAGGGAGTGGGAGGAAGGACCTGTGCCTGGCATGTGATGTGTCACACTGACCCAGTTTTTCTGACTTAGACTGGACCATCTGCTGCCTGTTGTTTTGGCCTCTTATTTCTTTTTTTTTTTATTTTATTTTATGTGTATGAATGTATTGCCTGCATGTAAGTGAACCTTGCTATGCAATGCCCGTGGAGGTCAGAAGAGGGCGTCAGGTTCCCTGGAACTGGAGTTAAGGACAATTGTTGGCTGCCATGTGGGTGCTGGTATTCAAACCCAGGTTCTCTGCAAGTGTAGCCAGTGCTCTTAACCACTGAGCCAGTTCTCTAGCCCTTAGCTCCTCATTTCTTGTCCTGACATCTTTGATTGGTGCAGTTCCTTGTCGCCCTCCAAGTGGGGTTCTTGGTACATGCACCTTTTCCTTCTGAATGAAACCTTGCTATAGGATCAGCCTTTCCAGAACTTGTTCTGGACAGTAGCGCTTGGGAAGTCACATTCAGTGAGAAGCATCACTGCCCAGAGAGGCTCTACCACAGGAAACACTTGTAAATAACCTCTTGCGGGGCAGACACCTAACTTACAGGCCCAGTGCAGCATGAAGGCACAGTTGCCTCGTGTCTTCACAGGGCACTTCACAGCCACTGCAGGGACTAAATGGAAAATGTGTTCCCTTTGTTCATGTTGCCTTTGCCTGTCTGTCTGTCTCTTTGTTTTTATCTCTCACTTGAGATATCATAGTGGTATTTCAAAAATAATTAATTTTTTTTTCTGGCAGTTCTTGGGATGATCCCAAGGCCTTGTACTTGCTAGCCAAGTACTCTACCACTGAGCTCCAGCTCCAGCTCCAGCCCAAAGCATGGTGCTTTTTATCTGTTATTTAATATCACATTGCCTTTGGGAACAGTGTGAACAGACACCCTCCCTCCTCAGCACCTGGGTTTTTGTCTTGTGATTCAAATTTGCATCCCATCAGTCTCTGGATACCTGCTCAAGTGCAGGGTGGAAAAGTCAAGCTCCCTTCCCATGGGTCTGCTGCATCAGCCCAGATAGATGGGATTGCTTGAGGGGACCACAACCTATATATTGGAGAAAGACTTGATACCTGGAATGGGGGGGTGGGTAAGAGGTGTTCCTTCCAAGTTGGCAATGGAAAGAACATTGGTGCTGCTGGCCCCGGTAGGGCAGCACTGCCGTGTCTGCTGTATCTTGGACACACATGCTTATGTGGGTCTTTTCTGTGTAGTTCCTCAAAGAGAGGTAGAGAGGGATGTAGCTAGGAGAGTGTGTACCACTGGCCTCTGGGCAAGGAAACTTGTTATATGGCGAGTACTGGGGCAGGAGGGGTCAGGGAACCTGGGACAAGTGGGAACAGAGCAGTCAGTGGTCACATCCCAACCTAGGAAGGTAGGGAAGGAAGACCGCCCAGAGCTGTGGCTCCATGCCTGTGCTCCACTGTCCTGTCAGATTCACTTAGAAAACACACAGTCACAGATACAATTATGGAGTCACAGATACAAGTATGGAAAGGGCTTGAGACTAAGTATGTCTATGGGCCTGGGTGCTGTGTGTCTGCACAACTGGCCTGCCCCCTGCTAGCTCAGGGCTTCATTGCTCTGAGTGCACTTCGTGCAGCAAGTAGGTGGGACCCATGGTGACTCTGAGTACACCTACATGACCAGCCATGATGGTTAGTGTTCACTGTTAACAGATTGTAGAATCACCTGGGAGATGGGAGTCTTCAGTACAAACAAGGAGTCTGCACTACTTTGAGCTGTTTGGAAGCTTCAGGAGGGCCAAGGTGTTTGGGCAGGGATGTGGTGGGAAGTGAACCCGGTAATGATCCAAGAAGGCTGATGAGGCAGGTAGACTTGAGTGTGCCTGTGGCTCTGCGGATCCACTTATCCATCCCCTTGCTCTAGCTCCTGTCTTCATTAGATCATCAACTGCCCAAATTCTCTGTACACCTTAGAAGGCACGAACCTGTACTCCTCAGGGCCCTTGTGGGGACACCATTAGCCTGATGGACACCCACACGGGTGCGTGACTCAATGATGAGTTGGAGGGCAAGCAGGGGGAAGATGTGGGTGAGTCCTGCCTCCCAATCTTCCTGACCCCACAGATCCTGACAGAGGACCGAGACTTGAGTCTGAGGTTCTGCCTTTTACCAACTCTGCAACTCTAGGAAAGTTCCTCCCTATCTCAGGGCCTCAGTTTCTCATTTGCTAAGTAGGAAAAAAAAACATATTCATCTCTTAGGCTCTTTGACAGTTAAATGAGGTGATTCATCAAACATGCTTAATGCTGTGACTAGCCCAAGTTAAAGACTCAAGGTTTCATAGCTATTGTGAACACTGATGCTATTGCTGTTTTCAGACTAGAAAAGGGAAATCCTACTTGGCCCTCAGGGACATCTGTGTGGTACTGCTGAGTGGACAGTGTCTGGAGGTGAAGTGCGGCATGGAGTCCACCGTAGGCGCTGTCTTCGCTGCTGTCATGTCCTTCACTAACCTTGGGGAGACTACCTACTTTGGTCTGGCTTATGTGAAAGGTGGGTGTTTTCTGGGGACACTACTGCCCTGGGGCCTCTGGGAACCCAGGGACATGGGTACCTGAGCTCTGATTATCCTGGAAAGCTGCTTCAGACCAGGACGCCTCACTTTGTTCACTTAGACACAACTTAGTACAGTAAGGCCTTCCGGTGCCTGTGGAAAAAAATCAAGTGAGTGTGGATTGTCATGAAATAATGGGGGTAGGATGTGGGTTGTGACTCAGCTGCCAGGTCTGGTTGATCAGTTGCAGTGCTTTGAAAATAGACAAACAAGTATTAAAAACATTTCCAAATTATCTTGTGGTACTGATGGCACTTAGCACCCAAGAACTCAAGGTACGAATCTCTCCTGAAGAGCTGAGAGAAAGGATTTCCACATTTTCTCCCCGTGTCTTTTCATTAAGGGACTTTTTATTTTGCTCTCCTACAAGTCCCCTGTACTTCGTGCAGGGTTGACCTTCAGGAGTCCTGGGAATGGCTTATGGTCCCCAGGCTGGTTGAGAATACCTCTGAAGAGAGCAGAAGGATGGGGACCGTGCCTTCAGTGGCTATGTCAGACCTATCCTTCCACTCAGAGGGGCTGCAGGATCAACTCGGCAGGAGTTGAAGATCTGAGCTCTTATTATGGAATTTTGAGGTGATAGGACAAATGAGACTACACTTAGCTCAGACTTGGTCAGCTTGGGCTGCTATGACTAAGTGCCATAACTGGGTAGCTTAAACAATAGACATTTTTTTCTCTCACATAGTTTTAGAATCTGGAAGTCTAAGATCAAAGTGTCAGCTGATTTGATGCTTGGTAGAGATTTGCCTTCTGACTTTTGAAGAAAGCCTTCTCAGTGGGTCCTTCCATGACAGAAAGAATGAGAAAAGGGGAAGAGATGGAGGGAGAGAAGGAAAGAGAGAGAGGAACAGAGAGAGAGAGAGAGAGAGAGAGGGGGAGGGAGGAGCCCACCTGTATCACAGTGGGCTTGAGACTAAGTATGTCTATGGGCCTGGGTGCTGTGTGTCTGCACAACTGGCCTGCCCCCTGCTAGCTCAGGGCTTCATTGCTCTGAGTGCACTTCAGTGGCACCTTGGGACTTATAAGTACGGACTCCTGGCCTTGACCTAGACCAACTCAAGTGCAGCAAGTAGGTGGGACCCATGGTGACTCTGAGTACACCTACATGACCAGCCATGATGGTTAGTGTTCACTGTTAACAGATTGTAGAATCACCTGGGAGATGGGAGTCTTCAGTACAAACAAGGAGTCTGCACTACTTTGAGCTGTTTGGAAGCTTCAGGAGGGCCAAGGTGTTTGGGCAGGGATGTGGTGGGAAGTGAACCCGGTAATGATCCAAGAAGGCTGATGAGGCAGGTAGACTTGAGTGTGCCTGTGGCTCTGCGGATCCACTTATCCATCCCCTTGCTCTAGCTCCTGTCTTCATTAGATCATCAACTGCCCAAATTCTCTGTACACCTTAGAAGGCACGAACCTGTACTCCTCAGGGCCCTTGTGGGGACACCATTAGCCTGATGGACACCCACACGGGTGCGTGACTCAATGATGAGTTGGAGGGCAAGCAGGGGGAAGATGTGGGTGAGTCCTGCCTCCCAATCTTCCTGACCCCACAGATCCTGACAGAGGACCGAGACTTGAGTCTGAGGTTCTGCCTTTTACCAACTCTGCAACTCTAGGAAAGTTCCTCCCTATCTCAGGGCCTCAGTTTCTCATTTGCTAAGTAGGAAAAAAAAACATATTCATCTCTTAGGCTCTTTGACAGTTAAATGAGGTGATTCATCAAACATGCTTAATGCTGTGACTAGCCCAAGTTAAAGACTCAAGGTTTCATAGCTATTGTGAACACTGATGCTATTGCTGTTTTCAGACTAGAAAAGGGAAATCCTACTTGGCCCTCAGGGACATCTGTGTGGTACTGCTGAGTGGACAGTGTCTGGAGGTGAAGTGCGGCATGGAGTCCACCGTAGGCGCTGTCTTCGCTGCTGTCATGTCCTTCACTAACCTTGGGGAGACTACCTACTTTGGTCTGGCTTATGTGAAAGGTGGGTGTTTTCTGGGGACACTACTGCCCTGGGGCCTCTGGGAACCCAGGGACATGGGTACCTGAGCTCTGATTATCCTGGAAAGCTGCTTCAGACCAGGACGCCTCACTTTGTTCACTTAGACACAACTTAGTACAGTAAGGCCTTCCGGTGCCTGTGGAAAAAAATCAAGTGAGTGTGGATTGTCATGAAATAATGGGGGTAGGATGTGGGTTGTGACTCAGCTGCCAGGTCTGGTTGATCAGTTGCAGTGCTTTGAAGATAGACAAACAAGTATTAAAAACATTTCCAAATTATCTTGTGGTACTGATGACACTTAGCACCCAAGAACTCAAGGTAAGAATCTCTCCTGAAGAGCTGAGAGAAAGGATTTCCACATTTTCTCCCCTTGTCTTTTCATTAAGGGACTTTTTATTTTGCTCTCCTACAAGTCCCCTGTAAATAGACAAACAAGTATTAAAAACATTTCCAAATTATCTTGTGGTACTGATGGCACTTAGCACCCAAGAACTCAAGGTACGAATCTCTCCTGAAGAGCTGAGAGAAAGGATTTCCACATTTTCTCCCCGTGTCTTTTCATTAAGGGACTTTTTATTTTGCTCTCCTACAAGTCCCCTGTACTTCGTGCAGGGTTGACCTTCAGGAGTCCTGGGAATGGCTTATGGTCCCCAGGCTGGTTGAGAATACCTCTGAAGAGAGCAGAAGGATGGGGACCGTGCCTTCAGTGGCTATGTCAGACCTATCCTTCCACTCAGAGGGGCTGCAGGATCAACTCGGCAGGAGTTGAAGATCTGAGCTCTTATTATGGAATTTTGAGGTGATAGGACAAATGAGACTACACTTAGCTCAGACTTGGTCAGCTTGGACTGCTATGACTAAGTGCCATAACTGGGTAGCTTAAACAGTAGACATTTTTTTCTCTTACATAGTTTTAGAATCTGGAAGTTTAAGATCAAAGTGTCAGCTGATTTGATGCTTGGTAGAGATTTGCCTTCTGACTTTTGAAGAAAGCCTTCTCAGTGGGTCCGTCCATGACAGAAAGAATGAGAAAAGGGGAAGAGATGGAGGGAGAGAAGGAAAGAGAGAGAGGAACAGAGAGAGAGAGAGAGAGAGAGGAGGAGGAAGAGGAGGAGGAGGAGGAGGAGAGAGAGAGAGAGAGAGAGAGAGAGAGTGAATGGGCATGACTGACTTAGTTCTGAATCCCATCACCCTGGAGGTTAGGGGTCACTGGATGAGTTCCAGAAGTATTTAGTAACATTTAGTAGGCAATGTGCCTGTGACTGGGAGGTGCAAGATGGTCCAATTGATGCAAAGGGCCTGGCATATACAGAGACTTAGTACTCCATTCTTGTGTTACGTTTTCTTCATAAGGTAACAGCTCCTCATCATAAACACAGTCATCCCTCAGTTTCCACAGGGGATGGATTCTAGGACCCCAGCAGATACCCAAATCTACAGATGTTCAAGTTCATTATATAAAATGGTAGAGTGTGAACATGCAATTTCTGCATCCTGTATCTCTAGAGTATTTTGAACGCTAACTAAATAGGTGTCATACTACACTGTGTAGAGGACAATGAAAAAGAGGGTCTGTACGTGATCAGTGCATATAAAATTAAAGAAAATTCTATCTGTGGTTAGTTGAATCTGCAGATGCAGAACCTGCGATATGAAGGGATGGCTAGAGTTACATTTTCTTCTTGACTGTTTTCCTCTGTCTCCTCCTTTCTGTTCTCCAGGATACTGAGGGAACTTCCTGTTCTCTCCCGCACCAACACAGCTTACACCCTACCCCTCTGGGTAGGTGCAAGGTGTGAGTCTGAGGGTGGGACACAGCCTATTGCTTTTTCCTTTAAACTCTATTTCCATTTCAGGTAAAGAGTTCTTTTTCCTGGACAATGAAACCAAATTGTGCAATGTTGCCCCAGAACGCTGGAGAGAGCAGCCCCTGAAGGCCTCCATGTATGCCTTCACACTCTTTCTGAGGATAAAGTTCTTTGTCAGTCACTATGGGCTGCTCCGGTGAGTGCTACAGACTATTCCTGCGTTCATTAAGGGGTTTATGCCTATCTGGCCTGACATTACAAATAGTGGATAAGCAAGTGCTTTGGAAATGGTAAATTGCGTATAAATAACACAATTTCTGTTGATGGGATTTGAATGTGATAGAGCCAAGAGGAAAATCATTCTTTTTGGAGGCAGGCCCTTGTCCAAACAAGAACTTGCCTTTGTGTTTCAAACATAGTCCACTCAAGATCAGGTTTCTCTCTTGTTCTATACACAATCCAGCAGCCAGGGGAAAGGGTTGGAGGAGAGGGCATTGGATTTTTTGTCAGATCACCATCTCTGTATTCTGTTGCTTAATAGAGACACTACCTAAGCCTACTACCTTGAGCCATAGCATCACCAAACCTCTCTGTGGGTGTTCGATGAAGTGCCTAGTACAGAGACGCCATCAGCGAGAGAAGGAGGCATGGTGTAGGTGGAGGAGGCCACACTGGTCTCTCTGACATTGTCCTCTGGGTTTTGCTAGGTTATAGTCATCTTCCCATACCAAGAAGCCCTCTTGTGTTCAGACTCTTCTGGTCTCTGAACATCCCATCTACCCTTATTTCTCTGTTTCTCTGCCAGGCACAGTCTGACCAGGCATCAGCTTTACCTGCAGCTTCGGAAGGACATTCTAGAAGAGAGACTGTATTGCGACAGTGAGACACTGCTGCAGCTGGGGGTCCTTGCCCTGCAGGCTGAATTTGGCAGTTATCCTAAGAAGGTAGGAGTGGACATCTGGGGCCTTTTAGTGGAATCCCTGGAGACACAACTGTGGGATGAGGGGACTGTTGGCAATGTGGAGGATCTGCCTTTGAGAAATGTGGTTAGTATCTACCACTGAGATTGAGGTAAACTGTATTCATCCATCCATCCATCCATCCATCCATCCATCCATTCATCCATCCATCCACTCATCTACCCACCCATCCATCTACTTACCAAACAAAGCATTCATTGAGTGCTCTTTCCTGGGTTTCTGTATGATACAAAGATAAACTTATCAAGTTCATACATTGTATTGTAATACAGTTCTGGTCTAGTAAGTCCTTCTTGTATCAATTGGTTTTGGGTTACTGCAATGAAATGGCCAGAGAAGTTAGCTTACAAGGAGAAATGGTTTATTCAGAACCCAGTTTTGGAAGTTCAAAGTCAAATTGTGGGCCAGACCCATTGGTTTGGCCTCTGATGAGGGTGTTGGGTATATATAATACTATATAATAGTATTGGTACCTCACAGTGAGAGCGCATATGTGGAGGAGCTTACAATGCTAAACAAGAAGTCAGAGGAAGAGAGACAGAGATCCCACTGTCCCTTCTGAAGACATGCTTCCAATGATGTAAGGACCTCCCACTAGGTCCCTCTTCATAAAGGTTCCTTCATTTCCCATCATACTACCCTGGAGACCAAGACTTTAACCACAGCGATACTTGAAATCAGGGTGCAATGACACTAATAAATGTATTCACATAGCAGGTTCAAAATGGGGATCATGGCTGGAAGGAGAGATCAGCAAGATGAGATGTTATGTTCAACAGAGTGGTTTTTCTTTGGGACTCAAGATGCCTCTCACCCATGTTCAGGATAATGGAGAAGAGGCTTGTCCATAGACTCTAATAGAGACTCAGCAATGTGACCCTTGTGGAACGATATGGTGTGCAAATGAGTACACCTGTGCATACATTAGTAGGAGTGGAGAGAGAAGAGAAGGGAGGTGAAGTTCCTATTGATTTCTTCCCACTGTTAGCTACATTTCTGCAACTGTAACATAGTACTTGATATACTCAACTTATTGTAGGAAAGGTTTATTTTGGTCCCTGGTTTCAGAGATTTCAGTCCATGGTTAATTGGCTGGAGTAGCACAGTATATCATAGGGGAGGATGTGGTAGAAGAAAAGGAGGCATGTTTGCCTCATGGCAATAGGGAGAGGGGGGAGAAGAGAAAAACATGGTGGTCCCAATAGTCCCTTCAAGGGCATGTTTACAGTGGCACAACTTTTTTCCACTGTCTCATCTCTTAAAGGTCCCATCGTCTCTCAATAGTGCCACAGGCTGGCATCCAAGCCTTTAGTTAACATATGGGGGACAATTAAGGCCTACACCATAACACCTGGTGACCTCCCAGTCAGCACACTGGGTTTGTCTCAGAGGATACTTATCACAGTCACATGAAGAGTGTGTGTGCTCATCAGCAGTGAGCACTCTGTGGTAAGCAATGCAACATCTGTGGTGAACAAAGAAGTCATGTTTGGCCAAAGTTCTGATCAGCTGGATCGTCTGAGTCTTCCCTTGTATTGCAGGGAGATTGTATCTTTCCCAGAATTCACATGTTGGAACACAGACCTCAGTGTCTCAGAACATGGCTTATTTGGAAACAACCGTCAACAGAGGTGATTAGGTTGAAACGAGGCTGTTATCTTGTGTTCTGATCCAGTTTGATCAGTGTCTCTATAGAAGAGGACATTGGGACACACAAAGGAGAACCAGGGGCAAATGCACAGAGGAAAAGTTCTGTGAGGACACACCCAACAGGTGGTCATCTGCAAACCTAGGAGAGAGGCCACAGACACACAAAGATGCTGACATCTTGATCTTGATCTTGTACTTCTAGCCCCCAGAGCACGAATACATAGCTTTCTGTTTTTTTAAGCTCTGGACTGTTTGTTATGGCAGCCTGAGGTGACACACTTGAGTCTGAGAGGAGGCTGCAACCACCGCTAAGTGTGGACACCTCCACAGAGCTGTGCTCTTAGTTCAGAAATGTGGGTGGGTGAAGAAACTACGGGTGTGATTCAGTCATAGCTTGCCCATCTAGTCCCAGTGATAAGTTAAAGAGCCGAGACAAACTCAGCAGTTTTAGCTTTAAACACTTTATGCTGTGACCCATCATTTAGAAAAGGACATCTGTTATAATCTAGTACACATGTATGCACATAGAACTGAAAGAAACAGGAAATAGGACACACCCCTTCCATATGTGATGAATATTGATATTTCCTCTTCTATTTAGCTTCTGTGTGTGCATGTATATGTACAGGTATGTGTTCGTGTGTACGTGGGTACAGGTGTGTTTGTGTTTGGAGGCCAGAGGTCAACCTTGAGTATCATTCCTCTGGAGCCAGCCATCCACCGTGGGTTTTTGTTGTTTTTGTTTTGTTTTGTTTTGTTTTTTTTTGTTTTGTTTTGTTTGAGACAGGGTCTTCTTGTAGTACCAGCTGGCCTGGAACTTACTATGTAGACCAGGCTGGCCTAGGTTTCACAGAGATCTGCCTGTGATAAATGTATTTGCCTCCTGAGTGCTGTTATTACTACCACAACTAATCCACCAAGCTTTCTTTTGAGATTGGGTCTCTCACTTGAACACGCTTGGGGCTTACCAATTAGAGTAGGTTGGCAGGCTAGAGAGTCCCAGGGATCCACCTGGATCTAGCTCCCTAGAGCTGAGATGATGACCCCATGGTATCATGTTAGGTTTTTTATATGGATGTTGAGGATTGAACTCAGGTTTTCATGTTTGTACAACAGGTACTTTACTGAGTCATCTCTCCAGCTTCTTCTGTTTAGTTTTTTTTTTAAAATGCTAGTTATGAGTCTCTCAGTTGTTTCCATGGTTCACAAATAAGTTGCAGACTGCAGTCTGCATTTACTTCATGACTTCCCAGACTATATCAGTATTACATTTCTTTCTCCCAGATCATCTTTTGAAAGTGTTGCCTGGTTCTGGACTTTCCAAAGCCTCTCTGTACCATTTTTGTTGTATCTCTTCATAACATTTATTGCCACCTGGCATGTTGTCTTAGTCACTTTTCTGTTGCTGTGATGAAACACTATGACTAAGGGAACTTATAAAAGGAAGAGTTTATTTAGCTTACAGTTCCAAAAGGGCAAGAGTCCATCATGGTGTGGAGGCATGGTGGCAGAGGTGGCTGAAGTAGGAGCAGAAGCTAAGCTCTGACATCTTCAAGCAGGCACAGGAAGCAGAGAGTGACCCAAGATATGGCAAGGCTTAAGAACTCTCTAAGCCTGCCCCCAGTGATGTGCTTCCTTCAGTGTGGCCACACCTGCTAAGACCTCTCAAACAGTACCACGAACTGGGAACAAAATGATAAAATACTTGGAACCTATGGGGGACATTCTCATTCAAACAACCACACATATTAAATCCATTTATTTATAATTATATTGCCTTCCTCCTTATTATAGTTTGGATTTTGAATGCCCCCAGTAGACTCATGCATTGAAGGCTTAGTCTCCAGTCTGTGGCACTATTGGGAGGTAATGTGTGGTAGTTTGAATGAGACTTTGAGTGGGGCTGTTTTGGACAGCTTAAGGGTTGTGGTCTTGCTGGTAGAAGCATATCACTGAGGGCGGGCTTTAGCCTTCTGTACTCTGTTTCCTGTGCCTGCTTGAAGATATGAGAACTCAGCTTTCTGCTCTGGCTGCCTCCTGCAGTTCCTCCCTGCCATGATGGATTCTTGCCCCTTAGAACTGCAATCCCAATAAACTTTTTCTTCAATAGAAAATACCTTATACATAATGAAACCTTTAGGAAGTGGTGCCTAATGGAAGAAAGTTAGGTCATTTGGGAGCATGCCCTTAAAGAAGATATTGGAACCCTGGCCCTTCCTTTTTCACTGCTTCCTGGCTGTGATAACTTGAATGAGACACTTCCCTAGACCCTCCTTGTCATATTTTATGGGGCCTCACAGGCTCAAAGCAGCATGACCAAGTGACGATGGACTAAAGTTTCAGAAACTATGCATCAAAATAAATCTCTTTATTCTCTTTTAAAGATCTTTATTTCAGCTAATTGATCACACAGCTCCGTTAGAAGCTAATCTGCCTGAAGTTTTCAAAGGTTTTTGCCTGCTTTTGTCCACCCATTTCCCAAGCACCAAAGGACCAACTGAAGCTCAGGGATTTTCCCAGGATCTATTGCTCTCAGTGGAGAATGAATGGAGTCTAGACTCCTGGACTGGGTGACTTGCCAGATCAGTGAGGAAAGCCAGCAGCTTATTTGTCTGGGATCTGCAGTACAATCCTCATTCCCATCCCAGCCCCTCTGGGCCCATTGTGGTCCATGGAGAGTGGGACTTTGCTTTCTGCTCCTGGTACCCCTCCTGCTTGGGAGGGCAGTTTCCCAGAGCTGGACTGGTCCAGCTCTTCCCTGCCCTTTGATGTATGACCTTCCATCTCTGTCACTGCCTACCCTGAAGCTCCTCTTCCTCTTCCTCTCTTCAGCCCTGGGGTTGGGGTCACTACCAAGCTGAGACCAGCTCCATCATATCAGCGCTCTGCTTACATTTGAGGGCCTTGGGAAGAGGTGCTCTAAGTCAAGGAAGGCCCCACGAATCTTTCAGTGTCTTTGCTGTAGCCTCTGACCATTCCTGTGTGGCGAAAGTGAGCTGAGCAAATGTCTTTCAGAGACTGCTTTTACCTCTCCTTAGCAGACTCTGGGGCCTGGAGGATTGATTCTAGGTTTTGGAGTCAGACAGAAGGGGGATCAAGGCTTGCCTCTTCTGGTTAATGACTATGAATGTGTTATCTGAGTCTTATTTTTTCATCTGTAAAATGGAAAATAATAATTGGGCTCTTGTGAAGCTGCTGTGAGGACAGATGAGAACAGTGTGTGTGAAACTTGATTACAGCAACTGCTGTTGACCATCTTTCCTTCCCTCTCTTTAGAACTAGGAGTGTTCTCACTTGAAGGGACACTGCAGCAG